TTACATTCTTGGCTACTTTACACTAGTAGTTAGTTCTTTCACTAGTGGAGGGGGCATCATTGAATAAGTGTGGGTACTTTTGCTTCATTTGGTCCTCGCGTTCCCAGGTAAACTCTGGCCCTCTACGAGAGTTCCATCGGACTTTTACTATAGGTATGCGGTTTTGTTTAAGTCTTTTAATTTCCCGATCCATAATCTCCATTGGTTCCTCCATGAAGTGAAGCTTTGTGTTGACCTGAATTTCATCGAGTGGTACGATCAAATTTTCATCGGCTAGGCACTTTTTGAGATTAGACACGTGGAAGGTATCGTGAACCTTGTTAAGCTCTTGAGGTAGGTTGAGCTTATAAGCTACCAGACCAACTCTTGCTAGGATCTCAAAGGGTCCGATGTAACGTGGGTTTAGCTTTCCTCTTTTTCCGAATCTAATGACACCCTTCCATGGGGCAACTTTTAGTAGGACTCGGTCTCCTACTTTGAATTCCAATGGTTTGCGTCTGTTGTCAGCATAACTCTTCTGCCGACTACGTGCGGCTTTTAGCCGTTCTTTTATCTGAACAATCTTTTCTGTTGTCTCCTGAATGATTTCAGGTCCAGTGAATAGTGTATCTCTAATATGTTTTCCTGCTAGTTGGGTATCTCCAATCTCTGCCCAACATAATGGTGAACGACATTTGCGCCCATACAAGGCCTCGAATGGAGCGGCCTTTATACTACTGTGATAGCTGTTGTTGTAAGAGAACTCAACTAATGGCAAGTGAGTATCCCATGCGTTACCAAAGTCTATCACACAAGCGCGGAGCATATCTTCCAGAGTTTGTATTGTCCTTTCGCTCTGGCCATCCGTTTGGGGATGATATGCTGTACTCATGTCGAGTTTTGTGCCTAGGGATCTTTGCAGTGATTGCCAAAATCTGGAAGTGAATCTACTATCTCGGTCCGAGATGATAGATATTGGCACACCGTGTAGTTTGACTATCTCCTTGAGATAAGTTCTGGTGAGTTTTTCCATCTTATCAGTTTCCTTGATGGCTAAGAAGTGAGCGGACTTGGTCAAACGGTCAACCACTACCCATATGGTATCGTAACCGCTTGATGTCTTGGGCAACTTTGTTATAAAGTCCATTGTTATTTGTTCCCACTTCCATTCTGGAATTGATGGTTGTTGTAGCAGGCCAGACGGCTTCTGGTACTCCGCCTTGACCTTGGAGCAGGTCAAACACTTACCAACATAAGTGGCAATTTCTGCCTTCATATTGGGCCACCAATAATGCTTCTTGAGATCGAGATACATCTTGTCTGATCCGGGATGTATTGAGTATCTTGACTTGTGAGCTTCGTTTAAAACCAAATCTCTGACTTCTCCAAATCTTGGAGTCCAAATTCGGTTCATGAAGTATCGCGTTCCATCATCTCTGAGGTCGAACTGTTTGTCCATGCCTCGTAGGTTTTCTTCCATGATGTTTTCAGGTTTAAGTGCTTCTAGCTGAGCATCACGAATTTGAATAGTAAGGTTCGAGTGGATGGTTAGGGTTAGAGCCTTTACACGAAGAGGTTTTGCTCGTTCCTTCCTGCTTAAGGCATCTGCCACAACGTTTGCTTTACCGGGATGATAACGAATCTCGCATTCATAATCATTTAGTAATTCGACCCATCTCCGTTGTCTCATATTGAGCTCTTTTTGATCAAAAATGTGTTGGAGGCTCTTGTGGTCTGTGAATACAATGCACTTTGTCCCGTATAGATAGTGTCTCCAAATCTTCAGAGCAAATATTACGGCTCCCAACTCTAAGTCATGGGTAGTGTAGTTTGTCTCATTTGGCTTTAGTTGTCGGGATGCATATGCAATAACCTTATTCCTCTGCATTAGTACACACCCTAACCCTTGACGTGAGGCATCACAGTATACTACAAAGTCTTCTGTTCCCTCGGGAAGAGACAAAATTGGTGCACTGCATAACAATTGCTTCAATTTTCGGAAGGCAGACTCTTGACTGTCTCCCCAGTTGAACTTTTTGTCTTTCTGGGTTAGTGCGGTGAGAGGCTTGGCTATTTTGGAGAAGTTCTCAATAAATCTCCGATAATAGCCTGCAAGCCCTAAGAACTGACGTACTTCGGTTGGTGTTGTTGGTGCTTTCCAATTCTTGACAGCTTCAATCTTCACCGGATCGACATGAATCCCTTTATTGCTGACCACATGACCGAGGAAATGAACTTCGTTAATCCAGAACTCACACTTAGAAAACTTTGCATAAAGTTTTTCTTTTCTTAGTAGTTCTAGGATTAAACGCAAGTGCTGGTCATGTTCTTCCTTGGTTCGTGAGTATATTAATATGTCATCGATAAAGACAATCACAAATTTGTCCAAGTAGGGTTTACACACCCGATTCATAAGGTCCATGAATACGGCAGGTGCGTTGGTCAGTCCAAATGGCATCACTAGAAACTCATAGTGACCGTATCTAGTTCGGAATGCCGTCTTTGGAATATCCGCTTCTTGAACTCTAAGTTGATGATAGCCGGATCGTAGGTCGATCTTTGAGTAGTAGCAGGATCCTTGTAATTGGTCGAACAGGTCATCGATCCTCGGGAGTGGATACCGGTTTTTGATAGTGAGCTTATTCAACTCTCGATAATCGATGCACATCCTAAAAGAACCATCCTTCTTTTTGACAAACAATACCGGGGCTCCCCATGGAGAGAAGCTTGGCCGAATAAAGCCTTTGTCGAGAAGTTCTTGAAGTTGACTGGATAGTTCTTGCATTTCCGATGGAGCCAGGCGATAAGGAGACCGTGCCACTGGTGCTGCACCCGGGATAAGGTCGATTCGAAATTCAACCTGTCTGATAGGAGGTACTCCAGGTAGGTCTTCTGGAAATACGTCTGGGTAGTCACACACTTGTGGTATGTCTTTGATTTCCTTACCCTTGCCTTGCGTATCCACCACGTGGGCCAAGAAAGCGTAGCATCTCTTCTGCAAATACTTCCTTGCCTTCATGCAAGTAATGACTCGTAGGTTCTTCCCCGCCTTGTCTCCATAAATCACAAGGACTTCATCGTTTGGTAAGGGTAATCGTACAGCTTTTTCGTAACATAAAATCTCCGCTCGATGGGCTGATAACCAATCCATTCCGATGATTACATCGAAACTTCCAATGGTTATGGGCATTAAGTCGACAGGGAACACGTGATTATTCAGGGTGAGAAGGCAGTTGGTGAGTATTTCTAAGGTGCTTTCTATTTGACCATTGGCTACTTCTACCGTGTAAGCATTATTGAGTTTGCATGATTCATGATTAATCATTTTTCTAAATTTGTGGGAAATAAAACTCTTATCAGCACCAGTGTCAAATAATACAGAGGCATAAATATTGTTGATAGGAAACGTACCAGTAACCACAGTTGGTTCCTGGCGTGCGTCTCCCGCACCTATCACAAATGCCCTTCCTTGACCACCCTGTCTCTTCAGCTTAGGACAATCTTTCCTGAAATGTCCATGTTGGTTGCACTCGAAGCAGGTTCGACTTTCTCTTGCGGTAGTAGTTGAGACTGTGTTGCTTGGGTTCTTTTTGCAAAATTTGGTGGTATGACCGCTTAATTTGCAGTTGCTACATATCCTGCAGTCTCCAACATGATGATAATTGCACTTAGGGCAGCGAGGTAGAGTTCCAGCGTAGGGTTTTACTGGAGTGGGAGTGGTTGTGACTGCAGCATACACCGTTACAGGCTCTGGGTTTCGCTTACGGTGTTTGAAGTTCCCTTTTGGCTTTCCCTGGAAGTTTCTCTTAGATTTCCCAGTTTGGTTCTTTTCTTTTGCAGGGGCCATGGTGCCTTGTCGGATACATTGTTCAGTCAACTCATAGGCCAGCTGCTTGGCACTATCAAAAGTTGAGGGTCTGGATGCAGTAACCAGACCTTGGACTGGCGATGCTAATCCCCAAATGTATCTCTCCATCTTCTTGTCTTCTGAAGGTACCATTCCGGGACAAAGAGTTGCAAGGTCTTCGAATCGGGAGGTATAAGCAGCTACCTCTGATCCTTGCATGGTTAGGTTCCAGAGTTCTTGTTCTAATGCCTGAATCTCCTGTCGTGGGCAATACACTTTAGTCATCATTAGTTTCAGCTGTTCCCATCCCATGGCATAGGCTTCCGCAATTCCCACGGTCTTGGCATGGTTGTTCCACCAAGTTAAGGCAGCATCCATCAGTGTGCAGGTAGCGTACTTAACCCTGCAGTCATCCGGGCAAGAGCTGATGTGGAAGACAGCTTCAATCTTCTCTATCCATCGGGATAGGCCAACAGCTCCTTCAGTTCCGTAGAAGGATCGGGGTTTACAACCCATGAATTCTTTGTATGAGCAGTGTTTGGGATTTCTTTGGGCAACTACAGGAGTACCACTTCCGCTATTTCCAGTATTCCCGTTTCGAGCTGCCTCATAAGTCGCCAAGGCCGTAGCAATCCCTTGTGCAAGCATGTTCTGCATCATGGTGGGATCCATCTGGAAATTTTGGTGGTTATTTGTAGCACTTGGGGTTTCTTCAGGGTCTGGAGTTTCTTCTGTTGTTTGAGTTATCTCTGGAGCACTTCTCCTGTTAGTTCGGGGAGTCGGTGGTGGACGAACTCGTGGTTCTTTTCGTCGAGGCATTATCCTAATACGTTAGATAAGTAAGTTAATTTTTTTTTTAAACCATATAGTTATAATGTGTGTGTATTTTGTATTTGTTCAATTTGTTTTTCTTGCGAAACCAGAAAATGAAAGCTTTTCCTGATATATAGAGTTTTGCAAGTAATACATAATAAATACAAACATTTAATAAAACACAGAAACATTGTCATCAGAACTGCTTGTTTTGGTTACAAAGTTTTAACCATATAAGGTTAGAAATAGAAAAGCTTTTCAAAAGAGCTATTACAAACCAGGCAGTGATAAACACTTGCAATACAAAAGCTATTCCTCAAAAGTCCTAACCTTATCCTAGGACACAAGTTGCCCTAGATATCTACCTCCCAAATCGAGTCATCACATAGAGGACAAAGTCCTCGAACTGGTCCAAGATGTAGCGTTGTTCCTGCGCAGAGATAACCAACTGATTTCGCTGCGCAGCAAGCTCGCTCTCCATGATCTGAATCCGGTAGTTCTGTGCTCTTACCTGAGCACTCAAGGCATTCACTGCATCATGATCAGCACCCGAGAGATGATATAATATCTGGATCGCATCAGAATTCTCCTTCTCCTCTTCCTCGAGTGTCTCAACTCGATGGTCGAGGGAAGTAGAGTCTGGACCTCTCACAAACTGCTCCAAGGATCTAATCCTATCCCCGGTCTGATCAATCTGAGTCATCAAGCGAGGTATCGGATCATCCTCAGGATTAAACCTGAGTGGTGCTCGTGAAGATTCACCAACCTCAAACCGTGGTGGTAGATCAGTAGCATCCCTCCTGCTAAGGAGGTCTGTGAGCCAAGATGGCTCACTGGGTCGATTACGTTTCCCTAATAGACCACTAGTGGGTCGGGAAACCTGAGCAGCTGGGTCCAAGTGGTAAATAGGAGATATAGTAGTTCCTGGGGTCCTCATCATACAAGGGCCCTTGCCGCGCAGAAGGTACGGCTGGTAGTAGGGTCTCGGTGGTGAGTCTGGTGGGGTAAGGGGAGTAGGTTCCTCTTCGGAGAGGTCTCCCTCATCCTCTGCAGGACCATCATCATCAGTCTCTTGGGCATCCTGAAATATGCCCTCATTCTCGAGCTCCTCCTCATCGGGATCCTCCTCAGGATCCTCTTCGGGATCCTCCTCAAGACCGTCATGGGGAAAGTACGGATCCCCCGCTAAGTGTAGTGGATGTGGATGCAAAGGAACTCCAAATGGCTCATCAGGATCCTCAAGTCGAAACCAGTCATCAGGGTTATCTGGTAGTCCAGCCATCTACATAGAAGGGTTTCAAGCGGTTTAGTAAATTTGTATAAGTTTTTATTTTATTTTTATTATTATTTTTTTATTTATTTATTTATTTATTTTATTTTATTTTATTTTTTTTTTTTTTTTTTTTTTTTTTTTTTTTTTTATTTTTTTTTTATTTTTTATTTTTTTATTATTATTATAAGAGTTTTAAGGTTGATAAAAGGAGTCTAAGGTATTAAGCTTCATCAACGAATCTGATGGATATTCTTCAACTTCTAAAACTCTCAACCGTTGTAGCTTGTCAAACTCCTTGCTCAAGGTTGGTTGTGCACCGGCCCGACCATAAATAACATAGGCGCGCGTTCCAGGTTTATTTGTGGTATGGCTTATGTACGATACTAACCTTTAATTGAGGCGTTTGACCTAAAGGGTTGAGTTGGTAGTTTTAGTTGAAGGGATGTTTAGAATTTTTATTAAGTGTTCTCATCGTGGGTCAGGGTATATATATCAACTCTTACATATTAAGGTTGGTGGGGTTTGTAGTATTATTAATCTTTGTTTTGTACTTCCCAACTACCATACCGTAAGTAGTCGGGAAGTAGTTTTATTATTGATAATACTTTTATAAGAAGCTAGTTGCTATAGTTGTATTCCTCTTTCGAGGATACGAGTTCTCTATAGCCAATTTAGCTCTGATACCATTCTGTCACACCCCCGGCCGAGGCGGCGGAACATGCCGGGCTGTGCGACTAAGTTCATGGATCACAGGTAAATTGAATATACAGCACAAGTACAACAATAAACAAAACAACATTTCATTACATGTTTATGTTTTCATACAAAGTTCTTACAGATAGTAATAAAATAATAATACGAGTTTGCCTTAACAGTTAGGCATAACAGTTCAAAAGTAGAAAATTAAAGTACTTGCGAGCCAAGTTTTCCATCGTCTGAGTGTACCCGAAATTTCACTGATTTCCTGAGAATACATGTATTTTGAAAGTCAACACGAGGTTGGTGAGAGTCACAGGTTTTCTGCTAGTCGCAGTAATAATACTTTCAAAAGTCCAAGAGTATATATATATGTATATATATATGTATATATTTTGTATAATGATAGTTGAAACAATGCTTGTCATGAGTCTTTAAAAGCTAAAAATTAATTTTATAAATAATTTTATGCTTTTGAAGAAAATGTGTTTGTAATAACTTCATGAAGGTTTAAACATATCCATTGTATAAGTAACCACCATACTTAAAAACATTTCTAAAAGTAACCAAACATGTGGTTGTAGTGAAAAAGTGAGAGAGATTCATGTTAATGTTTTTAGTGAGTTCTATAATCGAGCTATAGACGAAAGGTACCCCTCCCTACGACGCTTCATTGGACGTCGTAGTAACGATCGTAGACACATATCACCTGCTTCGATTGATCAGTCGATGGTTGTAGCTAGCAACCGCAGGTGGGGTTGTCGAACCCATATAGATCTATATATATGTACCTCGCTCCGAAGATTAACGATTATAGCAGTATGGGGCAGGCTAAGTGATTAAACTCAGCTAATGAATAGTAGCGTCTCACTCAAAAACCATTAACGAAAGTTTGTGAATAACTCTCAGCCCTAACTTAATTATAGATAAGTACCGGGCATAATGAATTTCGTAGTATAGTATTTGTAAAAGTCGAGTATGGTTGACGTATTTATAAAAGTATAAATTACTCACTTTTATGGAGATATGTATTTTAACATAATGGTATTGTACAAGTGTGTAATGCCTAGTATTCAGATATGGAAGTCTTTACAACTTTTAAAATTGTAGCATGTATATCATATAAGGCATATGTATTTGCATAATAAATACTATTTAGCACATGTATTCTCCCCCAAGAATAAATAAAATATTCAAAAGGGGCCGTAACTCTCACCTTATCGAGTGGTAAACGAGTAGTTCTTAAGACCAGAATGTATTGCCGTGAGGTCGTGATCTCCGGGATTAGTTCGATTTCCTAGAAATTCGATATATATTAATATTTGGACGTGATTAAGTATTATAACAATTTCTTGAATAATTCCCTAACTTTTGCCAATTTAAAATTTAAAATTATTTTAAATAAATTTTAAAATTTAATTTATTATTTTTCCGCAAGTTTTTAAATAACCAAAATTAATTTATTTGAAATCAACTTTAAAATTTCTAATATATACGTATAAACATTGTTCATTTAATTTTGTATTTAAAGTTTGATTTGTTTTGAAAAGATTTGTTCAGTTTAGGGTATGTTTTAAATATTTTGATTAAACTTTCATTGTTTAACAACTAGATTTGAGATAATTCTAAATATGGAGGGACTAATAATGGACAATTTCAAAGTTGAGGGATCATATCTATTTAAATGGAATGCATGTTTGTATAGTGTCGATCAATTACACAGGAGGTGTTAACCTCCTGTGTTCACTCGAATTCCATGCATAAACAAAGGAAAAGAATTACGCATGATTTTATGGTTCTTTGGTTGTTTATTATGATCGACAATGAGAAGGAAATAAATATACAAGGTGGTGACGGTAGGGACTTACAGTGGCAGCAACACAGCAGCACAAAAAGAGAAGGTGGTTTGTTCGTCGGTGGTGGCAGGAGGGTCCCCGACAGCCTCCTGGTGCCTTCTGTTGCGTCTTCTTCCCGAGAAAAAGAGAGGGGAGGGTGGAGAGACTCTCGGTGGTTGAAATCAGGAACAAACCATGGTTGAAGGAGGTGTTTGATATTAGTGGCAGTGGGTGGTGGTGTAAGGAAAGAGGAAGAGAGGGAGAGATTAAGAGAGGGAGTGATAGAGAGAAGAAGAACCGATTAGTTTGTGAGGATTCAGGTGAAGTAAACCCTCTATTTATAGTATAAGTCTACACACACATGCTTACTAATGGCCATACCTTCAACTGTTTATGTACTTTTGGTGATACTTGCAAACCAAGATGAAGAGTGAGGTAGAGGAGAAGCACGTGGGAAGCTGGAAGGAGATCAGATTTTTGGAGTCCATCACACCATGGGGGCCCCACATGGAGTTATACCTCCATTTCATATCCAAAACATGCGAAAATGGGTTCCTTGGGATTCGTGCATCGAATATTTTTTTTCGAAAGGACTTTTAGATAGAGTATAATTCAAGGATTCCAGAACATCAAACGGATTAATTTTTGGAGTTACGGATCTCCGGGAAATGGCGTTTGAAGTTTTGCGTCTTAACGGTTGGCGGTGTCCGTTTTTGCGACTTTCATAAATATTTTCGTAAGAATTATTTTGAGTGTGAAATTAAATAATATTCTATATCCTGAGTCCAAAAATGCTCTCAAAAATCCCGTCGGCAAAGCGTAAGTGCCTCAACGGAACGTTTTTATTTACGCGATTAAAGAATAAAAGTGTTTTACTGTCCGTTTTTCTTAAAGCGGTTATATCTTTTGCATACAAACTCCGTTTTGGACGTTCTTTATATTTTTGGAAATGGGGGAACATGTACTATCATATTTTTGTGTTTATTTTGCTCAAAAATGAAAAATGTTAAATTTCAATTTTCAGACGCATTAGTCAGCGCTGCAGTTGAGCGGTTTGATTGGGTTACCAGTTTACACGTTTGGGCATAAAAATATCATCAAATATTATATAATAATTGAAATTAACTCATTTATATTTCCTTAGATGCAGTTAAAGCTAAATGAATTAATTACAAATAGATTTGTCGTAGTTTAGTCGTTTGAAATCTATGACCTAAATTCCGGGATGTCACAGCAACCCTCAATTTCCATAGATGATATCATACCTTTTTCCTGCCACTCACGATCCACCCTACAAGAATTTTTTTTTACCCCATTTACCTCACCGAACTCCGGAGTGCATACCTCACACGGATAAACTTATGATCTCCAAACCAAGTTTCCACTATAATCCATCTTGAAACGGCCATCCACAAATTCACCCTAAGTTGCTGATTGAAACTACCACAAGTCATGTAGAGAAGACCCCTAAACAGGTTGGTAGCAAACCATTCACAATCCAAATCCATATGATACACCAAAACTTTAAAATAACCTTTTACTCTTTGCCATACCATTACCAATTTCCGGAGCGACGAAAGAAGATGATCAACCAAGAACTTCCACATTACATCCGATCCCTGACAACAACTTGTGAACGAGAAGGAATACGGGGAAAACATTCATCGGATGCATTCTTATACTTGAGTGATGATCCTAACGGTCCTTGAATGTTCCCTATCCAGACCAACTAATTAATGGGTCTTCCGATCTCCATCAACGCATCACACTGATAGTATTGAAAAGAGATTGAATGATCAATCCTGGCCATTTGGCCTGTAGCCCATGATGGGAATACCCGTAACAGATCCTCAGTCAATGGCTGAAATGCTCCTAATCTCATACCGACCTTGTCGATATTACGTTGTTTGTCCATCCTCATGATTCCTACAATACTCTCCTCCTTTCATTGCTTTAAGGGGACCTAATCGCCGCCCCACACAACACCAAACAAGCATCACAATACATAAATCCTACCGTACACGACTTCCCTATAGAAAAAATTGTTTCCCAAGAGTTTTCAGGATCTTCGACATGACCACCGACATTCCCTAAGGGAACTTTATAAGTGATAATCCACAATGCAGATAACGTATGGTTCCAGGTTATTATCACAAGTAGCATGCTCAATACCAGAACGTAGGTCTAACAGAATACACACAGAGTCTTCCGCATGACTTGAACGCCCTCATCGGGCCTTCAACCTATATGAAACACTCTCAGAACCTTCAGCATATCTGGTCCGCCCTTACCGGGCCTTCAACCTATCTGGACTGTTCTTTGAGCCTTCAGCCTGACTGGTACGCCCCATTGACCTTCAGTCTATCCGGATCGCCCTAAGTTTGTTGAGCATAACCTTGGACCCAACTTGTTTCCCTCTCCTATATAGCCAACTCTCCCCCACTTGGGTTTCGACTCGTGATCCAATCCACACACTAT